CAGCCAGCAAATCGCTCTCGCCTGCATGTCGCGCACTCGACACGCACGATCTCCCCAGAGGGTTGCGCGCACAGCCGGCAGATCGCACTCTCGCCTGCATTTCGCGCACTCGACACGCTTTCCGCAGAGGGTTGCGCGCACAGCCGGCAAATCCCACTCTCGCCTGCATTTCGCGCACTCGACACGCAGGATCTCCGCAGAGGGTTGCGCGGGCTCCAGGCACATCGCACTCTCGCCTGCATTTCGCGCACGCGATCTCCGCAGAGGGTTGCGCGCGCAGCCTGCAAATCGCACTCTCGCTTGCATTTCGCGCGCTCGACACGCACGATCTCCGCAGAGGGTTGCGCGCGCAGCCGGCCAATCGCACTCTCGCCTGCATTTCGCGCACTCGACACGCACGATCTCGGCAGAGAGTTGCGCGCGCAGCGGGCAAATCGCACTATCCTAGCATGGTATAATATGTGCCTCTTTGCACAAAATTGGTAATGTCGGACATCAAGAGGGAACTAAGGTTCCCCCTGGGCATCCTCCATTGCCACTCTCAACCACCCGCCTGTTGGGAACGAGGAGCCAAGGCTCTCATTCCTGTTGGCTCACTGCATCGTAAATGTCGAAAACAAGTTGGCGACTCCACTCAATGTTTGCACATTTCACCTGACGCAGCTTCCTGGCGGAGTGCTTATGCACCATTCCCGCCACGAAAGCATGTAAGCCTGGCTCGAATTACACCTCATGGACAACAAGCTGACCCTTGTCAAAAAATCGCTGTGCGCTGTGGAGAGCTCCAAGCTTTGCACAGGAAATGGGTAAAATTCCAAATGAGAACGCCTCAACTGCACAGAAGTTTGACAAGAAAATACTCTGCCAACAATTGATGGATACCTGCCGCTGTGAGCTCCAAGTTTTATGGAAGACATATCAATCGGGAAACTTCAATGTCAGACCACCTGACCAGCAATGTAATCTGAATGGAAAAAATTCGATGTCCATCATGCTTTCCTGGCAAGGCGAGCAACTCCTGGACAACAGGCTGGGCCATGTCAACAGTTGGCTGGCCTGGGCATGGCGCAGAGCTTTAAAAACTTGGTAGTGCGCCTCAACAGCACAGATATTTGACTAGAAAACGAACTGCCAGCAAGCAACACAGGCAGGGCGCCACTTGTTGACTTAGTAGCTCGCCGCAACAAGAAAGGCTGGCAAACCGAAGCTGATCTACAAAAAATGCTTTCTTAGAAAGTGGCAGCGATAGTGTCAACAAACACGGCAGAGGAAACCAGAGGTGTGAAGCGTGGCCTTTCACAAGCCTGGCAAGACTTACGCCTCATGGACAACAGGCTGACCCTTGTCAAAAATCCGCTGTACGCTGTGGAGAGCTCAAAACTTTGCACAGGAAATGCATATTATGAGACAAAATTCAAAAATGAGAACGCCTCAACAGCACAGAAGTTTGACAAGAAAATGCTCTGCCAGCAAACCAACCCAACAGGGCGCCACTTACTGACGTAGTAGCTTTGCGTCGCCCAATGAAAGGCCTTTTGCAAACCGTTTAAGAGATCTCGTGAGTCTTTATGCGCGAAGTCTTTCTTTGGCATAGGCACTTAATAGAAATGAATAGTTCTTTGTAAAGTGCTTTGCAGAGTGCTTGCTTTCGCAGTAACCTTTTCAGGCATTGAAAACTCATGGATTTTCTATGATGTTCGTGTGGCTTATCCAATTGCAGGCATTGGTGGAAGAAAGAAAGGATTTTCTCTTGAACATGGCCTTGAACACCAAAAAGATACTGCTGATCTCATCCTCCCCTATTACAGTAAGCGTATCAGTGTGCCGGTGCAGTATTTAACGACATAATAACAAGACTAGCACCAAAACTGAAAAGACCCAAGACGAAGTACCTATCGAAGTCTTCTCTTCTCAAGCAGTGTCTGAGGACACAACCTGAGGGAGACTCTGCGTGTATAGCGGTCGAAAGGAACTTCTCAGTGCAATGTCTGAAGACAAGACGGGACTGAAAAAACATTCCAAGGGTTTTGTACAAGTTTGTCGCAACTGTTGCACGTTTGGCTCAAGTGTGCGGCAAAACAGGCAACGCGTCAGTTTGTTTTTCCTCAACAGTTTTCGGTTAGCGGTTCTCAATCTTTTTCTTGTCTCGCTGTGTCTTCCTTCTTGTTGGTCACTGCCTTGTCTCCCTTATGTTTCCTTTTGTCTCCCTTCTTGTCTTCCTTCTTGTTGGTCACTGTGTCCAACTTGTCTCCATCTGTCTCGCTTTGTCTCTGGCTTGCCTTCTTGTGGGTGGGTTTCTGAGGCCTAAACAAGACTTGGTTTGGCGTGCTTCGCTTCCAGCCACATTCCACACCTCTGAAAGCTCCAGTTGTTAAGGCGCTTGGATTGGTCGTCAAAAACCAGTCATTCGCAACACTTTCAGCTTGAATCCGCCAAAAAGGCAAAGCTCGACAATTCTAGACACTTGAACACCAAGCTGAGCAAAAAAAACAAACCACCCAACGAACCAACAAACCACAAACTGACTTTTCAAAAGTTGTTTGGCTTGGTTCGGCTCTAAAGACTGAGACTGCAGCTGGTTTGAAAGTTACGGCGTTTTGCATGTGTCTTCAATTTCTTTGCAACGAGTAGTCTGTGAAATCTGCTGCGTCCCAAGACTCTCTCAGTCCAACAGGTTTGTCAGGACCTTCCACCTTGTCCACCACAAAAAAAGTTCTTTTCGTAATTGAAAACGGATGCGCTCCTTTTAGCGCGCACAGTTCGAGCCTGTATATGTCGGTATGTGAGTGTGCTTCCAGTCAGTTATGTGTACTGCCATCATGATTGGTTGGAATCTGCTGGATCCTGTCACCCCCCTGATAGCTGACTGGGTGCAAGCGCTACATGGACGGAGCGCTCGTGTCACACGCCCCTACCCGTGCAAAAAAAAAGTGGGTCATATTCAGCCCTTTCCAGGCCAATTGTCCGCAAGGTACGGCATTTCTCGAAGGCTCGGACGTTGAGCCACTCCTGCGGTGCCAGATGGTTGCTGCTTTGGTCTGGGTCTCCAACCCAGGCCAGCGCATGGCACTCCTCGAAAGCCCAGCATCCGAAGTCTATGCGCCCCGGAGCAGTGACTGTGTGAGCACATAACAACATCGGAAGGCTCCATCTTTCAGGCAAAGTTGTGAACTGGGCAGGTGCACTATGCGAAGCCTCGTCCCAGGCCGCTTCCCCAATGGTGTGTCGCTTGAGAGCGGCCTCCAGGAAGCTCAACCTCGGGGAATGTGCATCCCGAGGGCCATCCTGGCGCAGCCGGGGGCGCTCCCCTTTCCATACCAAGTGAACGCAGACCCAACCAAGACAAGAGGATTAAACCAACCACAGGAATGACGTGGAGACCGAAACCATTCATTTCACCTTTTCAGTGACCCCGGTCCCCACAGAGCACAGCTCGGATCACCCGCAGATGACCCTCACTGTGGCCAGACTGTACATTGAGCCTACTCACAAAGGAGAGAGTGGACCGACCGGTGACCCAGTCGTCAGCGATCCCTTGCATCCCAGTGGGATGTACCTGTCTCGCGACAGGACCCTAACCCAGTTAGGGAGGAACCGACGGTCTTGTCCACCGTGAGCTTGGCCACCCACGATGAATTTTGACCGTTGGCCAAGGGGTCCCGTTGACCCCTCCTCGAGACAAGTCCCCAAAAGGCTGTGTCAAACTCACCATCCCTAAGTGGCTCCACCGCATCCCACCTAAGGATAGTGATTGGATTGCCCCTTGTAGCTGACAGAGTGAATGAACGCCTAGCAACAACAATTGGGCAGTGCCAGGCCTGAGTGAGCATGGACGGTGGGCGCTTCCTCATCTTGAAACTCGAAAAGCGCCCCCATTAGCCTTGAGGAAAAGAGCGCACTCTTGACTTTTGACAGTTGTTGAAAGACCAAGCGACAGTGTGACAGCAAAATCCACCTTAACAGTTGAATTTTGATCTGGGGCGTCGAGCAGTTTGAGGTCAGGTGTCAGAACTGGTTAGTGACTTGGAACCCCTCTTTCTTCAGGGTGCGATCAACAACTGCTTTTGTCAACAGCACACTCAATTTTCAGCGAAACTGCGGAAAGGTGTGAACGGCCAAACCGTTCTGTTTGTTCGTTTGTTCACACATTGAAAGCTTGTTAGAGCTTGTTGAACATGTTGTGAAACACTTCAGAGTGAAAACCTTGCATGCAACCGCGTGCTTGTTCCCAGCCGTTTTACAGTGGTATTAGATCCTCGAGTGCTGACACCATGGCCTCACTCTCAATGCTGTATATATGTTTTTTACAACCCATTCCGTTGGTGCTTTTCCATGCGGTTGACTGCATGGAACGTTCAGGTGATGCTGGTTCGCATTTGCTTGCTTTTGGGGGCGGCCTTGGCCGATGACAGCTGGGAACTCAAAAACTCTTGCAATTTTCTTCGCAGCGCATCCACCGCTCCTGACTGGAGATGCCAAGGTCTCCTCCATTCAATGGCCGTGGACTTGGAGGATACGATGCTTGACAAAAGGCAGTGCAATCTAGCCCCAGTGTTCCAATTGATTCTGCATGCATTTAAGCATAAGCTGCCTTATTGGACAACGGTCGTACCGGGAGGACATACCGTTGTGAATTTGTCACCCCCTCTTGTTGAGGATGCGATTTCAACCACCCAATCTGAGCGCTGCGTTCAATGTCGTTGCATACCATGTTCCCACTGAGGCATCGGATCCTTTGGCAGACCCCTCCGTCGTCCAAAAAAAGAAACCTACTCAGGAGAAGACGTTAGAATGATTGAACGACACAAATTAGAGACTTAGAAAATTACTCGACTTTGGACTGTCCTTGATATGAGCGTCGTCCAAAACTAGATGATCCTTTGACCTTTAAATGATTTGAACACATCAGGGAAGTGAACTAAGAGTGGGCCATTTGGTGAACTGTGTCTTGATTGCTTGAGAAAGTTGGCAGTGGATCGCTGATGAGGTTTACGATTTACAGTACATGGTTTAGACGTCCATACACGAAACGCGGGTGGCAGCTTTTAATGGAACGATTTTGCAAGCAAATAGGGAGACAACGTGTTGTGGTGTCCAAATTGTCGTTGCTGAGGGAGCAACCACAGCAAGTGCAACAACTCCAGCAACCAGAACAACCTGAGCAGCCGGGGCTCTCAGCCGGCGCTGGATTTCTGCATGAATCCGATTTTTGAAGCCTCCCATCTGAACATTGTGTGAGGCCAGAGCAGAAGGAGTTGCCTGCCAAGGCCGGGTGAGATTGAGCCCCATCCCGTTTGTTTGGCCAACAGGGGTGGTGTCAAACCATTTCATATTGATTGAACGGTCATCGCCAGGACTGGGAGCAGTATGTGCCCACCTTTGCTCAGGGCATGGCCCGCAAGTCGCGTGAGCCGCGGCAGCCCCGGGAGTCAAGAGCCTTGGCCACGCAGGGCGGGGAATGCTGGGCCTCGTGTGGTCCTTGGGCTTGGAACCAGCATCCATGCTTGTCGATGTCGTGGGCATAAAGCGCGGCTGAAGGAATTTACCGAATTGTCTTTAGAATGAGTGGGATATTGAAATTTAAAGATACCACAGCAACAGCTCACAAGCTGTTCGCGGATGAGAGCCTTTACAACTCTTGTGCGTTTGAATGTGCGCTTTGGACATTGATTGCCTTCTGAGGAAGCGGTGCCCAGCCGGCCATGCCTGGAGCATGGATCAAATCACTTGTTGGACAATCACGAGCACACAAGGAATGATGGGTTGGACAAGCACGTGCGAAGCCGGGTCACTCTGAAACGACTGAAGCGGCCTTTTCACCGAGGTTCTTTGTTGGAGAGCAGCCTCAGCAGAAGCCACAGCAGCCGGAGCAGCGAGAGCAGCGAGAGCAGCCAGAACAGCCTGAGCAGCCAGAACAGCCTGAGCAGCCTGAGCAGCCAGAAGAGAAGGAGAACGAGAGTCAGTGCTGCGAGAGTAGGTCTGGAATTCTTGCTTATATAATTGAAGGTATATCACTGCTGTTAGGAAACAGTCCGCAAAATGTCAAGTTAGCATGTGCTAGCGTGGTGTTTGTGCAGAGCAGAATTCCAACAAAGGCAGGCAGGCTGTTTCATTGGTTGATCTGTTGATCGTAGCTGCTAGCTTCCAACAAATGAAGGGACAAGGTCCTAAAGTGCAGATAGAGTTCACCGAGTTGACCGATCGTAAGCAGATTTGTGCTGTTCCAACGCTTTCGACTCCTAAAGACTGGTTGACAACACTTCTGCTGCTTGGTCCAGGACTGGCAGAAGTATGTCCCGGGCATGGCTCAGCATTTTACCCACAGCCATCCACTGAGACAGTTTTTGGGTCAAGGGTTCGCTTGAGCTCCGGTCCAGATGACGTGCAGCAGAGCCAGGTGTGCAGTCAGGTGTTTGTGCAGATATAGACCTAGGTGTGTATAGGTCAAAGGCGTTTCGGCTCAATCGATCATTGAGAATGGCAATGCCTATGTAACCCCCTCGATGGGGATAGGTCTTGTCTTCCAGGAAAATGTGAGATTTCCCCTGTTGCAGAGGATTTCCAATATTTTGGATACCATGATCGCCGTTGGCACTAGTTGTCCTACTGAGTTCTACTGGAAAAAGGCCTGCACGCAACATCCACAGCTGAAGATAAAGTTCACCATCCTTCTCCCAACTACCCATCATATTTGGATCTGTGACTGTGATCATCTCCCAACCATGTCTTTGCCATCCCACGCGGCTCTCGCTCCCTCCGTCCCCAGCTCTTCGAGAACGGCATCGACTCGGCCTCCGTCCCTGTGGCGGCAGTCGCTGGGCTTGGGGCTCCTGGCGCTGGGGCTCCGCTGGACGGCCTTCGCCGAGCTCCGCTCGCTCCGCACGCCGGGCGGAGTGCAGGGAGCGGAAAAGAGCGCATCGTGCCAAGCGGCAGCACTGGGTGCTGAGCCCGACCGGAGAGCATTGGAGGCTTTAGATCGGGAGGCTGGAGGGTCTGTCAGAGGAACATTTAAACAGTGCACGATTCATCTACTCTAGATTCACCCTGCAATCCAATCTTTTTGCTTGGCTTGTTGGTTTGAGCACGAGTCGCAGATGGGTTTGCCAGGTGCCCAGGTATGTCCTGAAGGCCGCAGAAGGAAACGAACGACTGGCCTTAAGGCGTTGGATGGAGACATTGAGGTGGAGGTGTGAACTTGGAGATGAGGAGATCTTCAGAAGGCCAAATCCCAACTTCTTTCGGATCCAGCGGCATTATCCCACTTACCTCCATTTGCCAGACAAATGGGGAAGGCTTACCTACTGGCAGCAAGCGGGACGGCTGAATCCATCAGGACTGATCAATGATGGAATGACCGCTCCACTGGTCCGTGATGATTACATTTGGCAGACGCTTTTCGCCTACGACGTGTGGTTGAAGCGCGATGACCGGCAAGAATGTACGATCATCGTTGATATGGAAGGCTTTAGTCTTTCATCTGTAACTCCCACGATGCTTCGAATCTTTACCCTAAGCTATTCTGTAATCCAGAAGCACTTTCCCGATCGGGAGCACATGGTGGTGGTCATCAATGCGCCTGAGTGGTGGGGTGCCATTTTTGCTTTCTTCAAGCCCATTCTGCCGGCCAAACAGCAGCGCAAGCTTCGAGTCAGTACAGGAAAGGAGGAATCTTACCGGACCCTTCGTGAGATTCTGGATCTAGCAACTTGGACGGAACTTGTAACATCACCTTTCTGAGAGTTTCTTCTTTTAGACGTGGTGGTAGAGCGAGTGGTTTTGTTTGGGGCCATTGGAGCGCTCAGGAGAGCATTCCAAAGGAATATGGAGGTCGTGGTATTTCTCTGGGCTCAGCACCTGCTGAATTGCTGCGGAAGAGATATGCTGCAGAGGGCTCCCAGCGCTAGAAAAGGAGCGAACACCGCCGCCGGCGCGGGGGTAGCGCATCGGCGGACATATGAGGTGAACAACGGCCGACATCGGTCGACTGGGTGTCCACTTTGAAGGACCCAATCGACTTTTACGGGTTGGTTGATTGGTTGAGGGGGATCATTCCTCGAGTGTACGCCACAAGGTCGGCACCAAATCAGACTTGGCACCGACGTATCTGACTTGATGTCCTTTTGATGGCACCTATGAAGTCCAAATCTGACTCCTTGATTCCCTAGGAGCAAGGACGCTACTAGGGGCTCCTGGCCGTACTACTAGGAACAAGGACGCTACAAGTACGGATGCTGCTCCTCCCTCCCCGCTGCTCGTCGCTGATCCGCTGAGGTGGAAAGAAGGGCTCCGAGAAGGCGCCGGGGCCGAGGGGGGGCGTCCAAGGCCCCGAAGCGAGCCGCTGGGGAGTTGATCCTAATGGGAAGCGTTGGGTTGTTTTTGGGATGGAAGTTGGAGCCAGCCAGAAGGATCCAATTGAATGGTAGGAGAGCTGGAGATCGCTGGAGTCACTGAAACAAAGCGGTGGGCGTAACTTGAAAGGGTCTCGGGCCGTTCATGGGTCTACTTGGGAGCAGCCATGAATGGATGATTTGCTCATTTTGTGTGTTTTCAGGACACCCAGAAGAAGAGCCCCTCCTTGCTTTTGGCCGCCCAGTACCTACCTCAGTTGTAAGTATGGAAACTGCACACTTCGTCCCCTTGACTCATAGACATCGGGAGTGAGTCAGTTGTCACAGCCTAGACCTGTGGCACTGATCTTGGACATGTTGCCGAGGACCCTGTCTGGAGAGCAGAAGCTTGACTGCGGTTGAATGCGGTTGACCACCAATCCAGCGTGTCCGTTGAACAGGGCGCCGCAGAAACCTGTTTGCTTTGCGCGTGGTATGGTGGGGTAAAAGTTCGTGCAGCAAACGTAACATGGAAGTGGAAAATGGTCCTTGGAAGACAACTTTCCTTTGTAAACAGGGGGTGCCGAGTCCACGCCCATTTAGTGAGTCCATTCTTGAGAGCCTGATCAGGCCGCAGCAGAAGCCCCAACCAGAGCAGCCTGAGCAGCCTGAACAGCCAGAGCAGCCAGAGCAAAAGGAAATGAAGGACCTTGGGGTCTCCCGTTTGAGGTACACATTGTATATATATATACATATATATATATACACGGCATATACACGTACTGTGGGACATCGACTTTCAATGAGCACGGGCAGCAGTCGACCTGCCCAGCTCCACTTGAGCAGGGCCCAACTTTGTGCACAGTCCCGATGAAGTTGAATCTTCCTGAAGCATTTGCCAAAGAGGATTGGAACAAGTTCGTCCCGTCCTTTGTGAACGGCTTCGCCAAGGACTATGTCAAGAAAAGTGGGCTCTCAGCTTGACTCGTTGGACTCCTTTGACTTGTTGGACGTTCCGAAGCTGGGCGCACACGACCAGGGACCACGGTTTTCCCTGAATTCAATGATTCATGGACTTGGTGCCGTTTTGCTTTGGCCGGAGATGGGTCACTGCACTCAACTGGTTGAACGTACTATGGTTTCACAAAACACTTGAGAAAGTGGCCTCACAGCGATTCAATAGGCAGACAGATTTGTGACAAACATGATTATTGTCAGGGACTGTTTGAAAGGACTCCTTAACTGACTGACCGGAGCGAATTCTATTGGATATCAATGCCTTTTTAACGTGTGCATGCCTCTACTTACTAGCGGAGCCATGACGGAGGCCAATCAGGAACTCAGACCTTGCACCACGACAAGGTGAGGAGGAGTCCGAGAAGCGGGTGCAGAAGAGGGAAGAAAAGGAGGAGGAGAAGAAAGGCGAGAAGAAGGCCCGCGTCACCTACACCCCCGGAAGATTAAAACGAACTCTTTCATTCGCAAGAGAAGCCACTCTTCCCAGGGCTTTTTTTATTTATATAGGTAGTTTTTATGTGAACTTTTGGCGGTGATTGTTCTTCTGCCCACCAAGCTGCATTAACTGGATCAGCCTAGCCCCGACTGGCGAGTGAAGAACCGTCTGCTTGCTTGCTTGCTCGCTCGCTCGCTTGCTCCCTTGCTTGTTTTGCTCCCTTGCTCCGTTGCTCCCTTGCTCGCTTGGTTGGTTCCGGTTAACAAGTACTGTAGGAACATTCCCGATGCCTCCATCGGCCATGGGTTGCTTTTGCTCGAGTTGCTTGAGTCCCAGCAGCTCCTGCGCCCTAGAAAAGTTGATCCCGACAGAGGTCTTTCTCAGCCGAATCTTCCTGTGCAGGGTGCGGCGCCAGCGGTGTTTCTCGCGCAGCTGGGCACCCAACAAAGCAGAAGTCAAGACGAGTGCTGGGAAATGGGGTAATGGTGATTTCTTTGATGCAAACCTTTTCCCTCAAAATTGCTTCAGCATAAAGTTGGTTCTAAGGTCCGACTTGAGCACTGATGAGGCGAAGGAGGCGGAGCCTTGCTAAGCGAAAGAATTGCTCAAGTTTGGGAGTCCAAACTCCATAATCTGGGTATGGCCCATAAACCAGAACCAGACCACCCGTATTGACATTCTTCATGATATATTGACTCACTAAGCTGCGTACTTTGTACCCATGAGCTGAAAACCCCTCGCGCCAGGAGCAAAGCCTGCGCGCTGTCTCTGCCGCCGAGCAAGCGGAATCGCAAGCACGAGCACGCACGACCAGCCCAGTGTGGTCGCCGACCATCGACCGCCGACCGTCACTCCGACTCCGCGCACAGTCGCAGAGGTTCCACGGAACCGGTGCCGAGGTGCTCAGGCGTCCCTGGAGAAGATGAAGGACGCCTCCTGGAAGGACATCATCCGCAAGGCCCATGGGTGTTCGGGTGGGTCGCCCTGTGGGTGAGGCACTGGCATGCACCAACCTTTTGATATGAAAAACCACTGGATGTTAGAGTGCGAGAGCAAGAAGCAAGTTAGTAGTTTAAGGGTTGATAGCACCAGGACTGAGGAGTCGCACCCCCATCAACATACTGGCAGCTGGAGCACGTAACGCCTCACCCATTCGGTCCGACTGGTCCACCCCGTGGAGGTCTCTGACTGGGGCACGGTGGACGAGCTTTCGGCCTCCTCCACGCAGAAGGATGCCCATGGTTTCTGGGCGAACTGCTGGATTTGGTGGGTGCCCGGTCGCTCTGGTGCCGGTCGGACTGGGCGCATGGACTGGAGAGCCCTTTCGGAGTCTGGTGACTTCGTTTGGATCGAACGCGGACTTTGGCGGACTGGATCGGATGTTCCAAGTATGGGTTCTGCTGCTTACACCCACGGGCAGAAATGGCAAGACACGTGTTTCTCTTTCCCAGAACAGTTTCTCGCTTGTTTGACGGTGACACGTTTGTGACACTTGCACCGGCCAAAATCATCTACGTCGTCCCGTGGTTTGTTTTTCTACTGGTTCAGCCGGACGGTTCGAGTCGTCGCCAGCGCCAGTCTTTTCCGGCACCTGGTGGGCTTTTTTCGATAGGTGTTTGTACAATCGAATGGCAAACCATCTCAAGAGCAAGCACCCAGAACAGCGCTTCACGCTTTCTTCTCATGAGAGCTGGGGGCCGGACTTGGTTTTGACCGTTTGGACCAGCACCACTTGGGGAAGTGACGACCGTTCCTCCTACGGGCGCCTGAAGACCGCCCCAGTTTGGGAGAACGCGCTGGAAAAGCGAATCCAGGCGACCCAGCGGAGGGTGGGCTGATTGGAGTGGTGAGTGAGTCTTTTCCAGGAGACACTAAGGATCACTAAGGTACTCAGGGGTCTTCAGCACCTTGGATCTTCAGGGGACCCGTTCTGAAAGAACATTGGCCACCACATGCCATGGATCGGAGATGACCTTTTTGCTTTTCTTCCCTCATGTCTGGTCGTACCGCAGTTTCTCACAAGGACCAGTCTTTCTTCCCTGCAGATCTTCGGGTTGCTTCGGGTGCGATCTCTTGGGGATGAGGAACAACAAGTGGCATCATCGCGGGTTGTTCCCATTCTCGGAAATTGTGATTGGGCCCTTCAGCATCGCCAGATGCTCGACAAGTTCAACAAGGAGCATCGCAAGCATCTTGCAGCAATTAAACTGCGGTCGTGGCAGTGGAGTTGAAAGGATGAAGAGGCTTTATATAATTGGAGGCTGCATGAATACCATGATCCAGACCAGACAGACATACTTTCAATCGAGTGAAGGCAGATGCAAGGCGAAGGGTCATCGCCCAAGAAGACCCTACCTACATGATAGCCTACATGTCAAGAATCCAGCAGTTAGATTTGCAGAGGGAAGGAGTGGGAAACAGTAAGCCAAACACCACTTGTAATTGTAGAGGAGATTTGCTGGAAAGCGGAGTGACTGTGTGTATGATGAGTGCTATGTAAGTTCAACATACGATTCGGTGATAATTTGATGTGATGATTTGATGCAACATATTACGTGTTGATGATGCAATGATGTGATGTGTGTTGTCGATGCTGCAATATTTGATACGATGTGATACGAAGATGTCTATCGGGCTGCCATGTTGCGTTTCCGTTTGTTTTCCACTGGTCGCGCGTCGCCAGTGGCCTTTGTTGTTTGCCCTGAGGGATGTGCTGGACTTCAATGCGTCCAGGGCCGGGGGCCCTGAAAACCAGGAGAATGACATCGATCGATGTCAAGTGCCGCCAAGCACCTCGCTGTGGACCGGATCTCGCGGGCGACGGGTGGCATCCGAGGCGGTGGAGTTGGTCTATGCCGTGCAGACCGCTGCGGCCCATGTGGAGCTGAACAACCGCAGGAGGGGGACATGGAGGGACGGAAGGTCCCAGCGTTTCTGATCGAAGAATCCGTGTTTTTTCGAAGGTTCGGTGTCTTTTCTTCATAACTGGTCGGAAGACAGTGGAAGATCGAAGATCTGGCCTGGCGGTTCGGCGGTATGGCATGATGGGATTCCTGGGGTTGAACCCGAGGCCAAAACTTGAACTCCCTTGGTGTGAACACCTGAAACCTTTGGCCCAGCGAGACTCGGGCGCCAGGAAAGAAGAAAGCATGAAGTCGGAGCCTTGGAACATCAGACGGGGGGTGTCGGTCCAACACATGGGTGCTTTCTGAAGAAATCACGACACATGGCAGTTGGAAAGTCCCCGGTGTCCGGGCTGGAAGCAAACATTTGCAGTTGAGGTCATCTCTGAAGTCTACCCGCTATGCAGCCATTCAGCATGTCAGCATCCGAGATTTCCGCGCGGAAGAGGTGCAGATGGTTATTCTTAGTTGGATTTTGGAAGGCTCCTTGAGCTTGAGATCAGGTAACCCAGATTCCTGGCACGTGAAAGGTTCTGAGAAAGGAGTTCTCGACATACCAGCGCGCCAAAGTTCAATGATGATGGACGAACTTGTGGTCCTAGACGGACCTGCCATCGACATTTGCATTGGATGTTGGGGTATCCATCAAAAGACCCATCCCCCAAGACTAAGACCGAGACCTCACAAAATCCGCACAAGACACCGGGCATCCGTTTCAAGCCTCGGCTGCGACCAATAAGACACACACCCAAACACATCCAAAGTGTTGGGGGGGGTGGACCAAGCACCGGAACCCCCAAAAAACAAAACGTCCGCAAAAAGGACACCGCAAGAAGAACGTCCGTTCCAATCCCCATCGACCGTTCAGGTGAAGTCCCTGGAGGCGGACACGCGGGACGCCGCCCACCGTTGGAAGGCGAGTGCCGCGGTGCCGCGGGACGCCGCTTTCCGGTGCCGGGAGGAGGATCCGGTGCGGAGGGAGGAGAGTCGGCAGGGGAAAAAGACGCATTGAACCCATGGTCAATGACACAAGGTGTGTGTCATTTTTTGGGGGTCAGGAATTGCGGATGAGGACTGTTTCATGCCTTATTAACTACTCACTACTCGTACATATGGTCTAACATGTTTGCAGACAACTATTGTACGGTCAACAGCGGCAAAGCCATCTGTGGAACTTGCAGGTACTCGGCGCTCCTTTGTTAGACTGTTAGACCAAGACTGCCTACGTCTTTCCAAGCAGAGAGCCAAACCATCGTCTACAGAGAGCCAAACCTGCAACATCATATCCTGGCGTGGACGTCCCGCATTTACAGACACGAGAAGAAGCGTCACGGGTTTCGCGATCTCCTGCGTGACTTGGAAGTGTTTCATGTACAACCAAAAATGGTCCTCCCGAGCCGGCGGAACACCGCGGCCGAAGCTGGAACCCTCATGAACCGAGTCATGGCTGACGCCTCGCGTCCGTCCACGCAGGCAGTGGGAAAGATGGCCGTGAAGGCCCAGAAGCGACTTGGCAGGATGGGAATGGTTAGAGAAAGATCAAACAGGTATATATATATATAGTATAGACGGTATATATAGTATAGACGGTATGGTATGGTGGGTACCCACCCCGCTTCTGCCTGGGTTGAATCACTGTGAAGTACTGTAAGACAATGGTCCATATCACCAGACGATTCTGACCTTTGTCCTTAGCAGAATCCTGCATGCTTGTAAATATGAAAACAAAGGATAACAAAGGAACATTGTGAAATCCTTTGCAGCGTGGTGTACTGTCAACCTGATGGACAAAGCCCCACCTGCACCACTGCCCGTCACTGACTTCCCACCCTAAGGGCAGCTCACATGTCGGAGAACGTCTACGAGCGCCACGAGGACGTGATGAGTGATGCCGCGGGCGATGTTGCCAACCGCCCCTCCTGGCTGAGTATTGGAAGACGCGGAACGAGGGCGGGATGAGCGCAGCGATGGTGGAGTTTGTAGTCGGAGGTGGAGACCCTCTACAGGGGATCTGATGGGACCTCAAGTAAAAAAGACCAGTGACATCCAGTGACTAAACCCACTGGATCCCACTCTTTGGTGGCCTCCCCAGTCACAGACCCATATCGTGAGTTGCTGTGACCTCAGAGAGAAGTGTGTGAAGTGGAACGGCTGAGATGCCAGGTGCTGAGAACAAGGCTGACAGGCTCAAGGACCAGGTGTGCTGTTGGATTCTTGATGTTTTTGGGTTGGCTTCAGCCTATGTTGTCAATGGAAGTTGTGGAGATGCTGATGGCCTGTGGAAAATTCCATGCTTGAATGACTTTCAGGTGAACGACTACTTTTCCCGGATCGAAGATGAGGTGCACAGGTCGTCCTTCGATGCCCGCAGCAGGCCAGGAAGTTTCGGGGCTTGGTCTGCTTGGGCTTTTGGGGCTTCATAGGCCCCTATGGACTTGCGTTTCCTTGAATAATTTGACATCGAACATCCAGGAGCAACGCTGCTTGTTGTGTTTGCAACGGCAGGGAGCTCTTGAGGCAGGCCAAGGATGTGGTCAGTGAACTGCATGAGGCAGGGCACGCACTGGGGTGGCACCGGTCACCGGCATGGGAGAGTGAAGAAGGGGGAACGAATTGCTGCTTACTGTCAACTCCTGGGGTGGGTCGGCTGGGTAATGAGATAGCCACAAACCCTCTTATGGACCAACAAGAATGGGATCAACCAAGAAGGTGAGATGTGGGGCCTTGACTGAGATTTCGTGAAGGATGCGGGGGGGGCATTCGCAAATTGGACAGTGAATGTCGTTTGCAAGGCAGAAATCCGTGGTCTGACGCACGTGCACTTGACCAGCTTTCAATGGAACATCGACGTGGACCTGTGCTGTCTCGTCATTGAAATCCCAGAGGATAAAACCAGAATGTCTGACAGTGTGTTGGAAGATGCAAAAGCTTGGCCAATTCGCAAAGGTCTTAGACACGGGAATTGCTCCAGATATTTCCTGTCAGTATTTGTGTGTGTGGTCTTGAAGCCGAACATGGTCCTATGCTCCATCGACGCATTCGCCAGCCTCGGCGTCCTCCAAACTTGGAACTGCTTGTGGTCGTGACATCGGCATGCCCTTGGCGAAGCAAAGCTACACTCAGTGACGCACATGGGGAATTGTGCCTTTGGCATTGCCGCTGTTTGATGAACATGACCATCCAAAATTGGCTTGCATGAGTGGTCCTTTTGCCTTCTTCGAGTTTCAGCTCTTCGATGAAGTCAGCCCAGCTTGGCCTTCATCAAAGAGCCCTTCGAGACAGCCAAAATGACCACCGTTTTTCTGACAAGAGTCCCACGATGGATTGTTTCACCTGTCCAAATTGCAACATATGGGGATGCTGAGGATGAGTCAGAATCGGATTTCTATGGATTTCTTACACCCTGGGGCCTTGGGGTCCGGTGCCACATCCACGCCGACGTCGACTCCTCCAGGTCGCTGAGCGGCTAGGTGCCCAGGCGGCCTACCAGGAGGCCGGGTGTGCGCCGAAGAAGGTCCCAACGGATTCTAGCTATGTTCGTAGCGTCCGATCGCTCCTTAGGAAGAGTAGAACCAACCCCTTGTACAACCCCCTTGTCCAACGGGGGGCTTCTCTTTTTGCGTTTTTCTTTTTGTTTCATCTCTTTTGATCTCTCTCTGCATCATGAGAAACCGCCTGGAAGACACAGAGCTTTCTGTGGCCTGGCTGTCAAAGCTGCGGGGGGTCCACCTCCCACTTTGCTCCAGGCTGAATCTTCCGCCAAGTTCAAAGAAGAGGAGAAGCGCTGGGCCTGGTGCTGAGGGGCGGCTGGTGTCTTGGGGGAGTGAGGTTCAATCAGCTTCTGTTTTAACAAGCAAATTACACCAAACCAAGATGAACAACAAAGACGTCAAAAAGGTTCGCAATGATGAGTGATGGAGCAATTAAAAAACATAAGATGACAAGCAAACGATTTGGGTTGAACGGCGCGAAGCTAGTTTCATTTATATATCTATGTCAGCTATGTCAAGCAAAAGCCAGATGGAGCAACCGCAGAAATCCCAAGGATTTAGCATAATCTCAGCCAAGGTGCAAACACAACTTTATTTGAATGTTCCAGTACTTGAAGAGAGATTGACCAAGCTGGAATGTAAATAAACACCATCATGAAAACTAGCTCATTAGATGACAAACTGCAAATACATGACTGTTTTGGGAAGTTCAATTTGTACAGTAATCAAAGGGCAAATTAGGCGGTCCAGACACTCCCGCCCCGGCTCAGGAATCGTATCAGTCTCCCAAGGCGCACCAGAAGATTGATATCACACAGAAGTGTCCAGATCACATTGGTGACTTGGATTTCTCCAACAAGCCCTGTCCTTTTGATTTTGACTAGCATTGCAGAAGACTTTGACGAGCTTTGCACAATTCTTCCGTGCAGATGCTCTTTGAAGCTCCAAATGCTTTGATGGTGAAGAGGCGGGATGACAGCTGGTCAGTTGGTAAACCCATTTGTGTGTCAAGAAAGGCTTTTGAGGGTTGAACACGGTTGTGCACCATTTGGAGGGTACTATAACAAACAGTTCAATGCAGCTTGGTCAGATGCCTATATGCTTTCTGGAATGCGACTCCTGTGAAAGTCTGCCCTCATTATCTTGTGTATCCCAAAACCCGCGGAGCTTACCAGCCCACAGATTGTGGTTGCCTCCAAACATTGCTCTGAAAAGTAAACAAACAAAAAGATAAATAGTTCAATAACAATATGACATGAACTAATGTAGACCTTCTTATCTCCCCCCAGTGTGATAATTGCCATGTACGCCGCAAAGGGTCGGGTGGCATGTCAGTATTCTACATCCTTACATGGTTACATGCCCCAAGGGAGGACGCAGGTCGGGGTGAACATGCGTGGCTCGTCCCATCCTCGCCCTCCGAGCAGCCGCCAGCTCCATGCTCTTTGCTGCAGCCGGCTCATTCGCGCTGGTCTTTGCTTTGTTGCGGCAGGGGAACCCATTTATCCAGGAATGCCTCACCAGGGACTCTTCATTGCGTCGGTAGATCGTCTGGGGTGGAGTTGAACCGGTCTGGGGTGGAGTTGAAAAGGGACACCAAGATCTGTGCGTGCTGGCTGCGCGTGCTGGCTGCGGTGTGAAAAGAAGAACCCCCACCGTTGTCATTTTTCATGAGTGTGAATGAACCTAGGGAGACCCCCCCCCCATTGAACCCTCTTCACACTTCAAGAACCCCCCGGTGACTGCACTTCGTTTCAATTCGACCGAGCCCAACAAGGCGTCGCCAAGTGTCACGTCCACTGGACATCGAGGCGTCGTCCGGCGGAAGTGAGCCTGGCAGGGCCACACGTATTGCATGGACAACGGCTCAAACGTTTTGCATGACGAAAACAAGAGCGAGGCTCTTTGCTGAAGGGTCCAAACTGAGGCTCTTTTTTTTCCTGAAGTAGTGTAAGTAGTGTAGATTGATTTGCCTCCTCGATTGATTGGGACCAAGATACACAATTTTGTACATGAATCTTCTGAGCAGTTCATTTCGTCGAGAGGTGCGTTGGAACTTTTGTTTTTGGACACAACGTGTTCATCAGAATGGAGTTCCTTTACGCCCGATTTCTTTGAGTTCACAATTTCACAAGGGTCTTAGTTTCTTGGACTATCTTGGACCTCTGTGCTTAGGGTTCCGTATCACTTTGAGCACGGAAAGAGTATCGGATAGAGTCTACATAGAGTCTGTCACAAGACCTCGGCGCCATGAGCTACCCAACGGCGTCATGTTGGCTTTCTAGAAGTTGCATCAACTTGCCACAACAGTGGCCTTCTTGTCGTGTGGACCCAGACCATTCGCTTTTGGGTCACCTTCAACACGGGGGGGCCGGGCCGGGGGCCGAGCTGGCAGGCTCCACCTCTCCTTGGCTGAGCAGCAGGAATTTTGAGTTGCACCAGGGTGTATCCTTTTTTGGGGGTTGCTTCAACAAATCACTTGAGACAACCGACTCTACTGATTTCCTGATGAAACACCTTGGTGCAAGATTTCGCAGCTGTTGAGGCTGTTTTAGCGCCCTGTTTGAAACAAGGGTGACATTTTGGTTTCAAGGTTGTTTGCCACCACATCTTTTGAGTCTCTGGTAAACTCTTGTCTTGGCAAACAGAACGGGTTGGAGGTGGCAGACAACCTTCAATGGTTTGTGCATGTTCGACTCTTGGGCTGCACCAGTGTCAGTGCTCTTTTGAAACCGGCTTGGCCTTTCTTGTGGTTCCTGACACTGGCGCATGCGTTTGTAGATATCTGTTTAAAGCTGAGCAACCCCTCGCTCCGCTTGCCCAGAATTCCCCTTGCTGCGTCTTGATGGATTGACACCTTTTGAGGCCAAGGTCAGTGCCTCAGACAATCGCTTTGATGCGACCTCTTTCAGTTTCGGTTTGACTCTTCTTTGGACGACCTCTTCGGTGCTTTGCAGCTCGATGAGAGAGGACCTGTGCCACCCTGATTAAGCTGCTGAAACGCCAAGCCACATCTCTCCCGCTTTTGGATTTTTTTGGGGCCGAGCACGGGATGGGAAGCTTGGATCCTCGTCTACGTCTTGGCCTCTAAGGTTCGGCAAGCGGAAAAGGCGTGAGGAGCTGCGTTCAACGTGACCTTGCACGCAAACAAGATCATTCAAGTGTGGATCATCCAGGACTCATGATATTCTTTATTAGATATTTATTAGATATTTATTTGTTGGATGTTCCGGGTTTCGCACTTCATTCTCCGTGTTGGTCGCCATGACTCCTCTGCCGTTGTAGCTTCGCGCACTTGGAAAGGTGCGTTAGTTCGGCGACCAAGCCAAGGGCATCCGAGCCTTGCCCTTGTGCCTTAAAGCCTTTTCCAGAGCAGTGCTGGCCTCGATTACTTTCTCATGGTACAATAGTGCGAGTCATCACACGTCGTCAAGGTTCAGGGGACTTTTTGTATGCCGAGGTGCTGCTGTGCACTGCACCCCAACCATCACATGTCCCAGCAAGCCTCTGTGACTGATTGGTGCAGTTCTCAGGAGCTTTGAGCTGATACGGAAGAAGCGAGGTCCAATGTGGGTACGTCTCAACCAATTGGATTCTTGTATCTTCTGCCTTTGCCCAAGGCAAAGTCCATCCATCCCTCCGACCATCCGGCGAGTGGAGCTTAGTTGGTCAAATCAACGTGTGATCCAGCTGTGTGAAAGAAAAGATGTGGTGGTGGTAGTAGTAGTAGTAGGTTGAGGATGGATGGAACGACCAACCTAAGCCTGAACTTGGGTCTCAAGGACCGTGGCGTGTCTATGAGGAGTATTTGGAGGACCGGTGAGAAGCCGAGTTCGGATTTCGAAGGCACACAAACGCACACAGACAAGAAGCATACCCCTTACCTTGTGACTAGCGGGTGGTGGTCCAAGCACCGGTCGTAAGCCTTTCGGTCTCTTTTCGGTCTTTCCTGTCCGAAACGATCCCGATCCGCCTGCTGCGCCCCGGCGAGAGGACAAGGTGGCAGAAGCCGCAAGCCAATCGGTGGAGGATCGAACCGAACCGAACAACGGCCCCGCAAACGGGGCGCGAACCAACGGCGTGATTCGCGGCATGTGTATCAAAAAGAAATTAATTACTGAATCAAAAAAAAGTTATTTACGTAATCAACAACAAATTAATTAACTAATCAAAAAATAATTATTTTCCTTTCCCGTCTCTTGTATGCTTGCTCCTGGTCCACATGGTCGTCCTGGTCCCCTTGGTCCCCTGGTCCCCTTGGTCCCCTGGTCCCCTTGGTCCTCTGGTCCCCTTGGTCCCCTGGTCCCCTTGGTCCCTGGTCACCTCGTCGAAGGGAAGGGAAGGGAAGGAAGAAAAGAAGGGATCCAGGTAGGAGGCCGGCGCCTCGTCTGTACACGCGAAAAGTGACTCATCTGTACACGCGAATGATATACCTCGTCTGTACACGGGGATGCGCTGCTTCAAACTCACTCTCGCTCTCACTCTCACTCACTCACTCACTCACTCTCACTCACTCTCACTCTCACTCACTCACTCTCACTCACTCACTCTCACTCACTCACTCTCACTCACTCTCACTCACTTTCACTCACTCTCACTCACTCACTCACCCTTTTGTCCTTTTGTGGGCAGGTGAAATTTCGAGAAGGAAGTGGCTATGCCAAGTTCACACCCTTTTGTGGGCCATGCAGGGGTAAAATTTAGAGAAGGATGTTGCCACTTCAACTTGACTCACCCTTTTGTGGGCAGGGTAAAATTTAGAGAAGGAAGTGGCCAGTCCAACTTGACTCACCCTTTTGTGGGCCATGCAGGGGTGAAATTTAGAGAAGGATGTTGCCATTTCTTGACTCACCCTTTTGTGGG